AGAGAAGCAGGCAGGTGCAAAGCTATACTTTTCATCACATGCAGATACACACACAATATTTTCAGTAATTGAAATATTATGTCTTCTGTTACTGTTACAGTAAGAGCAAGTTTATTTATTTATTATATACTGGCAGAAAATTTACATGACAGTTTTGTAAGGGTTATTAGGACCATAGCCAAATTTCATATCTAAAAGATTTTAGAATACGTATTGGAAAGGGTTCTTGCAAGTGTATCACGTATCATGTGTACCTTGGATAATATTTTAATTCCAGCTGCTATTTGAATAAGCTGTTGTGGAACAGAAGTTTATTGCAAAGTTGTTTTGTATATCATCAGTGATAACTGTGCAGATAGGTGTGTTGTGGGGTGTTAGTAGCAGTGGATCTTATTGATACAGAAAAACTTGTTCCATTGACATTCTAGATTTATTAATGAGATTTAGAATTCTCATTGTTTTTATTTTTATCAAGAATGTAAATTCTGAATTAAGAATTTGAATTTTAAGTAACTTTTTTTGTTGAAAATAGCATGTATGATATCGTCAGGAAGTACAAATTAGAACTTCTTCCTAACAGGCACCAAATCATCACTCTCACTTCAAAAGGTCTATTTCCTGGCTATAGAAATCAATGCCTATAGGCACAATTTAGTATGGTATGAGATAATTGTAAAATATATATTTATAACATGTAAATATATATATGTTATAAAATCGGAAACACTTCACACAAATCACAAAGTAAAATAAGTACAGTCTCTTAAAGGTGCCTTATAAACCAAACTGCTTAATGGAATGGTTAGTAAGATAAAAAATATCTATTTACTTTCTTCATGGTTTGCATTGATCACTGGACTATGAGCTGGGGCAGAGTGCTCATATTCAGTTTTTTACCAGGAAAGAAAATAATTGAATAGAGGAGATGGAGGTTGTTTGTCATTGGGAAGAAGTTTTACAGTAACATTTTTGCCCCTTTTGGGACTAGGAAGTAAAACCCCTTCACTTAGCTGGACTAGGACTTCAGCATTAATAGGTAGGTCCTATGAATTGTGCCATAGCAACTATAGTGAGAGTCGTGTGACCTGCAAAGGTTGGTAAGTCAGTCCAGCTGGTCTTCTGTTGGGAGGTAGAACTTGTAGATTTGAACCTGTCAGGTGTTATCATGCAGTGTCCTGACCTTGGTACATATAGTCAAAGTGACTGGTCAGATTGAATTTTAACATGGAGCTGACACAAGCGTGAGTCAAACAAGCAGAAATACATGAAATAAACTTCAAAGCAGAATTAAAACAATGTAATGGGTGACAAAAGCATGATATTACTGAGCCCAAAGCAATACTTAATTAGCTTGCTTTAGTTTTTTTCCCTGGGCTCTACTTCAAAATAAATTCAGGCTTCAGTAAGAACCTGAGTCATCAATTTACTTTTCTGGAATCTTGAAGAAGACTTAATTTAAAGACAAGAATTTAACACAGATGAAGTATGGCTTTTTTAAATGGAAAAGGAACGTAGTCAGATACAGTGTAACAGTACAAATTAGATTTTAAATTAACCTCTTGCACGTGAGTTTTGATGTGAGCATTTCAACCTGACCTGATGCGGGTTGAATCACAGCTACTGCTTTCAGGGAAGAGGCTTCTATCGCCATGGTCTAATGCTTCCAGCTGTGCTCATGCAGCAGAAGCTGCTGTGTCAGTGGTCTGGGGCAGGATGGACTCACTTCTGCACTCATTTGGGCTCTTGCTCTGTTGGTCTCAGCCCAGGTGGAGATCAGAGCAAGTTTGAGCCTATTCTCAATAATACTTGCCTTCAGAAATAGCAAGAGGACTATAATCCTACAGCTGTGTTTCACCATCCACATGTATTTTATAAGGTGATTATCGTTTGGAAATATGGCATGCAACCATTAACAGTTACATTTTTTGATTTTTGAGTGCAGATATTATTTGTTAGCTCTGTGCTATAAGTAGAAAAAAAAAGAATAATCTTCTTTGTGGTTTGTATATACATGCAATTTGCATTTCCTGTGCTTTGCATGATTGAATACTTGGCATTTCTGTCTCACACATAAAACTTTAAGTAATGGTGTTTTGAATTCTGTGGATTGAAAACAATAAGCTGTTATCAAAAGCCCATTTGGAGAAGTGCAATTTTCTGATTTTAGAAGCCAGGAAAACCCAGTTCTGGCCCCACTGCAGTGACAAATATGCACTTAGCTCTGTGTACTTTCTGTGGGAGTTAAACTGTATAATAACCTTACAATTATGATCTTTGAAGATGTTCTGCATTAAACATTTAGAATGGTGGAAGGAAACATTAATTCATAGAGGGGCGTATGTCTCTCCTTATACATCCCCATCGATGAAGAGCTTATTTGCTTCAGGAAGCTTTCCAAATGATGGAGTTATTATGTGAACTGAGGTTCTTTCCAAAAGCTGTGATACTGGCAGAATTGAGCCCAGCTGGATGCTGGTAACTTATCTCTAGTTTTCTGGAAGTTTCTTGTTAGTTTGTTACACATTGTATACTCTAGAATTGCTTTGTATTATAAATAGTGAAAACACTGTAAATCTAGGGAATGTAAAACCCTACTTACTACATCACCTGGTGGCCAGCTAGGTGAGAAGTGAAATCTGTAATTTTTCAATCAGCTGTTAAATTCAACATTGGAAAACCATCAGTCTGTGATGGTAATTGGTGACCTGCGTAAAATGGATCATCTTCTGTGTCTTGGGATCTCACTCTGCAGACACTCGATGGCAAAACAAAGAAATAAAAATCTGCTCCTTCTTGTTGTGGTCAGTGAGAACAGTGCAGGCAGTGGCTGCAGGCAGGAGTGTGAGTGTGTGCTCGCAGCGCGGGGGTGTCTCTCAGGCCAGGGGTCCGCCTTGCGCCCATCATCTGCTGTTCCTGCTGCCCCCTGCCACCTGCTCTCTCACTCACTGCAGGAGATGACTTCTACCTCTAGGAGATGTTTCAAAAGCACTGAGTTTTTATGCTTACATTAAAAAAAATATATGGGAAACAACATAAAAATCCAAACCCAAACTAGAAGTGTAGTCAGTAGTGTAGCATACGGCTTGCAGTTCTGCAGGTGTATTTTTCTTTTAAGGCCTGAAATGCAAAATACTGAGGAACATTCCTTTATTCCACTCAGGTTTGCATATGTCCTGGTGTTGTGCCTTTTGCAGTCTGGCATAATATTGCATACAACAACAACAAGAAGTCTATTTTTCTGTAACGTGAATTCGCAAATGGCAACTGTTCAGTGTGTTTTATTTGTAGATATTAGCAAGTCTGAGAATTTTCCGTATTGAAAACTCTTTAATTTAAAATGCTAGCAAATGCTATTTATTAAAACTGTATTTTATGAAGACTCATGGCTCACATAAAGTGTTCTAGATTTTTGCAGATGTGACTTATTACTGTCAGACTTTAAAATTGAATAGCCTATGAAGTACAATTTAATATCAGTTTCTTTTGTCATACTTTATCCATCAAAATACCTTCAGAATCTGGTTTTAACATTAATTTGGTCCTAATCATAGTCTTTGTACTTGACCATTTTCAGTGTTTAGTACTGTTCATATTGCGTAATTTCAAAGTATTTTTATTGCTATTTTTAAAAATAATAGTTGTTTTATTAGAATTTTCTTTCTCCTCATTTATAACAATCTAAAATTGATGTACTACAGTGCTCTTCTGGGAAATATGCCAACAACTGTGGGTTTTAGTTTCAGAATGGCTGTTCATAGATCATACACGCTCTCAAGTGTTTGTTTGAGTGGGTACAATCCTGTTTTCAGAATTCTTGGTAGCAACATTGGCCTGATACACAGAATCATGTTAAAACAGAGTCTTGTAGCTGTAAACATAAAGTGCAAGGATCCATGTTTAAAAATAAATGCTCAAAATAGAACCTAGATTTTTAAGACAGTTTAAAACTATTTAAAACAATTTAAAACTATGCCAGGGGTTTCAAATGGGATATAAGTAGTTTTTAAGGGGTTGCTCTTATATAGGTAATGTACTTGCTTAGATAATAAAATTTGATTCCTGTTGTTCAGAGTGACAACTCAATCATTTCTCATGTCCATTTTGTCAGGGTTGCTCATACTATCACCACTGCACTGTCTCCCTCTCATCCTATGTTTTTTATAGGTGGAGCTTGTTTTACTCTTGGCAACTAATACGGCTTGTGGTCACAAGGCCTGCAATTGAATAGTTTAAAATGCAATGAGCTCTTGTGGACAGCACTTGTAGGGAGCATTTGAATATTGGCTCTGGCACAAAGTTCCTCTTTAGGCACAGTTGGGACATTTAATATCTTGCTTTGTGATTGCCATCTGCAAAATGAAGTAATACCTGCCTGTCTCGTAGGAGCACAGATTGACTCATGCTTGTGAAGTGATACAGGAATGCACTGAAGGCACATGAAGCCATCTGATCTACAGATATATGGGGAATTGTTCTTGGAAAAACTTAAAAATATTAGCAGCCATGTTCATGTGTGTCGTGTAGTTACCATAATCAATTCCTGTAACTGAAATGAGGGATATCATGTCAAAATGGCGCTGGAGCCTTTCAGTGTCCGCCCAGTGACTTTGAGAAACTTGACCCCTTCAAAAGGCAAATGTACTGTTCTTGAGAAATATTTTTGTAATACCCAGTGCAAAGCCTTGCATGTTTTTCTGAGTGCTATGCAGTCCCTAAGCCTGTCTGCCTTTGGGCTTTCTTGGGCTTCTTTCAACTGGCAATACCTGCAGCATGACAGCAACAACAGTGACATGAATTTTTTGAAGTCATTAGTATTCACTGGTAACCTTAAAAACAGGAAAATCACCCCTTTTGTCAGATTACACAAAGGGGTTGCTCTCTTTTATAAAATGAAATGAATTAGGCCCCTGTTGTGTTAGGTTCACTAAATCCACAGGACTGTTACTGTATGATTTTTTTGTTTGTAGCATATTATTACATATGTATTTTGCTTCTTTTAGAAGATAAAGGGAAAGCAAAACCCAATAGTGCAAGTCAGCAGTCCAATACAGAAGCGGGTCCTTTTCTTCCCAAACCTGGAGTGGCAGCAGTGGCACCTTTAGCACCTGCCTCATCCACCAAGAGCACGAATGGAGCTGCTAACACAGTTACTGAGTCAGAAGAGGAAAAAGCCAAAAAACTACTTTACTGTTCATTATGCAAAGTGGCTGTGAATTCCCTTTCACAACTAGAAGCCCACAATACAGGTGAGTATCCGTATGGTACAAGTCAGTTGTGTGTTAAAATTTTTAACATTCAGTGTAATAAGCTGGTAGCCACACTTCGCTGAAGAATCTTTTAGTTAAAACTTACAATGTCAAGTTACAAAACCAGTTTCATTAATGACAATTTCATGTGTGGTGTTTGATATTCTATTAGAGCACTCTATAATATTTTTGACTGTCTTTCATGTACTCTATATGTTTTTAGTTGACAAAATCCTTACAGTTCATGTTACCTAATCAGATTCCATCACACCTCCCCAGTGAGGATCACAGCATGATCATAGTGGTTTCTGTAGCACTAAGGTTTCTAAAATGTCTGTTCTCCCTCTTTTTCATATTTCATCTCACTATCACTTGTATCTGTTATTTTGCTGGCACAACTTATAGTAATTATTGTTATTTTATATTTTTGGTAATTTCAGGATGGGCTCATTAGATTTCCTAGATGTCCTAGAACCTTCTGATGATTGTTAGATATGCTCCCTTTAATAGGCCACAAGCAGCAATCCCTAATGTGCTCTGTCTGCTGTGTGTGTTGATGGTGTGCTGGTGATGTAAAGCTTGTTAACAAACCATTGAAGCTGGCTTTACAGCTGTAATCCGTTCTTGAAATGGACAAAGCAGCCATTTCTTCTTCCAAATCAGAGGATATTTATTGAAGTATTACTCTTCCTAGGCATGTTTTGAGCGATTGCTGTGGTTCCTGTCCCGCTCTAGGCTAATACCCTTTTTTGTGATTCACTGGCTATATGGATTGTGGCAGAAGAATAAGCAGCAAACACTTGGCCATACAGTCACACACTGCCCCCAAACAGCAAGGCAGTGGTCCAGTATGTCTGTTGTTTGCTTTTTGCACAAACCCTTCTGGCTTGCCTTTAAATCATGGAAGTGGGAATTACTCTGAACAAAAACAGAGTAATAATTAGTCCCAATCTGTGGTGACTTTAACCATTCTGTCTTGAAGATAAATGTATTGCAAAGTCCCAAGGCTGATGGACATATTTTTATGCTGCTGATCGTGAGCTCACCTGCATCTCCTTGCCCATTAGGCTCCAAGCACAAGACCATGGTTGAGGCTCGGAATGGTGCTGGTCCCATCAAGTCTTACCCTAGGCCTGGATCCCGACTGAAGGTGCAGAATGGCAGCAAAGGGTCAGGACTGCAGAACAAGACGTTTCATTGTGAAATCTGTGATGTCCATGTTAATTCAGAAATTCAACTTAAACAGGTAGTTTGCATGTATCTAGAGCTACTTTGTTGGTTTTAGCTGTATTGCAATATTGTAGGTGGGATGTAGGGCTACATGAAGATGTTTTGGTGAATACTAAGTGAACTTACTATTTCTTATCTGTCATCCCATAACTATTTCTAAATAGTTCATCATAGGTCAAGTTCAGCTAATTGTCTCAGCTGGGAAAAATGGGCTTGACAGTCATAGAGCAGAGGTATCAGTATCAATGAATTACATAGGAGATCTCATTTAAAAGTTTGCTGTGGTTCAAGAGAGAGTTGAACTTTAGCCTCCCACATATAAGAAATTCTGTGTTGAGATTCCCTGAATTCCTCCTTCAGTGCTGTTTCAGTCTGCTGGAATACTTTTTAATGCTATATGAGAGGGAAAATGTGACTCAGATCTATTTGTTTGGGACAGTCAACAGGAGGGTAAACCTACAGATACGTTTGAATTGTGTAGAACAATGTTATCATTAACAGTGTAGCTGTATGAACATGCAGCTCTTCTCTGAGTCAATTAGCCCTGGGTTCAGCGCTGTGCTCATACAGACGTAGTGTTGCTGATACCCAAATGGGAATCTCTAACTGGATGTGCTGTGCTGTGTGGATGTGTCCTCTCATTCCTTGTTATTTTAGTTAGTTCTAAGATAACATTAAATTGCATGGTGTAGACATATCCCTGGGTAATGGTTCTTCCTTCAGCTAATATTGAATTATTTATGCAACTGAACAGCATGAGCAGGATGGAAATTTACCTCCTACTTCTGAATATCCCTATGACCTAGTGCTTACAGCTCTGCCTGATTTGAAGCTCCTCAAGTGGAAAAAGGAGATACTAACAAAAATACCGATAATTTGCAGAGTCTGTCTTGGATCACAAAATACACTGTATTTGATTAGTTTCTGATTCTCTGTTTGATGTGCTTCAAATTGTTATGTTTAATTTAGCAAAACTTATTTTTGCTCTCTCTAAAGAACCTACTTTATCTTGCAAACAGGGGCTTAGGCATATCCTGCTGATAAATCAATTTCAAACTCAAAACCGAGAAATGTTTAAACAGCTAATTAAATGTGAGGATATTTATTTCAGCACATTTCCAGCCGAAGGCATAAGGACAGAGTTGCAGGAAAGCCTATGAAACCTAAATATAGTCCTTACAACAAACTGCAGCGCAACCCAAGTATTTTAGCAGTAAGTATTTTTATTTCTCCTCACTGTCTGTGCGAGTTTGTGACCTTGGGGACTCCCACCGCACAGAGACAGGAATATGACAGACCTGACGCTTCTGCAGCCTCTCTTCCCCCGCAGGCTGAGTCTGCACGGGGATCAGATTTGAAGATAGTTATGTATTCTGTCTGCCCAGTCAAAGGTATGCAGACAACACTGTGAGTATTATTTACTGCTAGGAAGAAGGGAATAATCAGCGGAATGGGGAATGAACCATGTCCCCTGTGGAAAGGTATCAGCTCTGCTGGGCTAGTGCACTTCTTGAAAGCAGCAATGGATATACTCTGTCTTTCTGCACACCTGAGATAACTCTCAGTTATGATGGATGCGGTCAGGGAAAAGGATATAGGATGTTAAGATATAAAAATACTAAGGTTCATTCTCTTCATACAGCAAAACAGAGTGCTGTGTGGATATATTAGTTGGTGCAAAAGAGTCATCAGGTGTTTAGGAGAATTGATTGCCTATCTGTTCAGGCTGTCTGTCACTGGCTATCAAAACACCTGTCCTGTCTCTGTGCCCCTAGCCAATCCCTTTCACACCCGCCTGCATTTCCAGGAATCCCACAAGCTGGCTCTGCCGGTCAGCTGCAGCCAGGGTTCAGGCTGGCTTTAGCACAGCGCAGTTTGTATGCTTATTTGCTCATAAATAAAGCCTGTACTTTATTCATTAGAGAAAAGTGCTTGCCACCTATGGCACAAAAACAATTTATATGTCGGGAAGAGAGAGATGAGATGTATGTGTGCATGAGGAAGCATATGAAAAGCTTTTAAAAGCTGAAATATTAATATGTCTTTGTAATTGTGTAGAGGCAAATGCAAATACTGCAGGCTTTCTCTAAGTCTCTCCGTTCAATAGGTTCTGCACACGCTAATCTTCACTTGTGTAATACATAATTTTATAATCTATTACATAAGAAGAGACCACCAGTTATAAGGGAAGGACATGAGTATCTTTTTCCCCACAAACGTGTGATTGTGGTGCAAACCATTTTCAGTGAGACCACAATGTATTTATTTCTGGTTATCTGCTTCACCACAAGCACCAGGAATGATTGTAGGTCATAAACTGAGTAATAATTATTTCAGGAAAAATTCTTTATGGTATTGATCTTAAAAAATATTTCTACTTTGAATAGAGCAGGTCTGCAGTGTCAGGTCAGAAGCTGACTGGACTAATCCAGCTTCCCATCTTGACCACTCTACTTTTCTATAATTCATTTTTGCAAGTGGAAAATTTGACTTTTGATATTGAAGTCTCAATCATGTTTTTTTTAATATTTCATGCACAGTTATAATTTATATAAAGTTGTTCACTTGCAAATTATGCTTCCTTCTAAACATCAGTGTGACTGTCTCTAGACTCACGAGATTTATGTGTCTTTAAATATAGGATTTGGTTGCTTTAATTGCCTTAGGAGTAAGAGGACAATGTAGGTAGCATTTCTAAGCAGCTGACATGAGGCATCTGTGAAAAGCCACAGCATGCTCTGTCAGAGTTCACTTTTTCCCTCATGTAAAAGTAGGCATGGGGAGAACTGTATTTACATTGCTTTTTTTGTGTGTGTTTTATTCCAGGCAAAACTTGCATTCCAGAAGGACATGATTAAGCCGCTGGCACCTGCTTTCCTCTCATCTCCTCTTGCTGCAGCTGCAGCTGTTTCATCAGCTCTGTCCCTTCCTCCCCGGCCCTCTGCATCCCTGTTCCAGGCACCAGCAATACCACCAGCTCTCCTGAGGCCAGCCCATGGGCCCATCCGGGCGACGCCTGCCTCCATACTTTTTGCACCATACTAATTTATTGATGTAAAAAAGAGATAACTATGGCCAGTACAAAGGGTAAAAGGAAAGCAGCAAAGGGGTCGAGATTTTAAAATGTGTTTCTCTTTTCCAATGCATCCAGAAGGACACCTCATCCAACCACATCATAAAATCCATCATTGATGGCAGTACATTTTGGAGTCTAGACAACTTTCTCAGTCTCTCTCTGTCTCTATTTTTTTAATCCAAATAGTGCGATTTGCTTAAAAATTAAATTGCTCATAACATTTATACCATTAAAGATTCATGCATCTATTCATTTTTTTCTTTTCTTTTTTTTTAATGTATATGATGCACCTTGGAATCAAGGAACATAAAATATTTTCCTGACAGACTTGAAAACTAGGGTCTTCCTCACTCACACCTATGTAAATACTTCTCTGAAAACCAATGGGTTACAATCTAATATGGAAAAAAGTAGATGAACCAAATGCTAGATCATGGATAACATCTCAGTAAAGAATTGCATCAATTTTTTTCCATGTGTTCTTGTTGACAGGGATTGTGTGCTGTCCTAGGCCCCAGTACTGGTGTACCTTGTGTAGTATCAAAGATGTATCACATGTCTGATTTTAACATTTTTAGTTTCTGTGCAAATGTTTGAAAGCAATGCAGCGCTGAAGCTTTTAATTATTTCTTTTGTGTCACACTTGATTTAGAGAAATCAAAAATAGAAAGCCATATAACATAGAGTTAAGATTACTACTTGTTTGCTACTTTCATTTAACTTATTTTTGTTGTTTCCTCACTGGTGTTGCTAAGCAATGTTTAAAGAGAAAAAAAAAGCTTTTCAACTGCACATTGCCACAGCTCACATGCATTGTTCAAGAAGACAATGGATCCATGTATTTGTACGTAAATATCCTTTTTTCTTCATTTCTAACTAGTTTCCTCTGTAACAATGCTGCATAACATTGTGGCTTCCTAATGCAATAATGTACAGAACATAAAATATTTATAATTAATCATATTCTCTGTTTACTGAATATGTTGCAGTAAATCCCCACCTATCTTCTTACCTCCCCAACCCTTTTATAAAGGTGAATCAATACACAGTACTCAGACTGAAGTCATTATGTGATAATGGGGACAACAGGTGGAAGAAAGAAAAATAAGAAGAGAATTAACTTTTAGAGCATCTTTATCAGCAATCCATAATAGTAAAATGTCTGTGTATTTTTTTAAATGTACCTTTTCAATAAAATAATAAGAAAACTGTACATGCTTATTGTGTTTTTTAATTGGTACAGAAAAAAAAGTCTGAAACAAATTTAGCTAAAGGAGTCTTCAGGAGCAGACAAAGCATTGGAGTTGCAATAAAATATAATTACAGAACCTGTTTTTGCTCCCCATGTGTTTTAATGTCTTTTCCTCACTACAACCTGTAATAAAATTTACTGGGGCTTTTTTGCAGCAAGACTGTAAATATTCACCACATCAGAGATTTGGAGGAAGAAGCAGCAGAGACAGGTGAGTGATTATGGTTTTATTATTGCACCACTGAAATGCTACACCATGGTTATGCTGTCACTAGTGGAGCTTAAGGATTAACTTTAAAACCAGCCTGGGCATATCTGAGACTGGAAGCAGGTCACTTTAGAGCCAGGACTTGATCTAAAGCTTGGGCAAAGTAAGCAGCTGCTTGATGCAGCAGCAGGCTTTTAAAGGGAGGTGTTTGGGAAAGCTTTGAAATTATCTATTTTTCACTGCTGAAAAGCTTGATCTGTTCTTCAAAAGTCTTTTCTTTGTTAATACAAAGTGAAAAGTAAGGAGTACAAGAATAAAAGGAATCAACTGTAAGGCTACTAGGGTAAATACAAAGCCAACAGGGCCATTACAAATCCACAAAGGCCAAGGAAAATAACTTCAGAAACTTTATAATAGAGATTTTACAGACCAACATAGTAGCCTCATAGTAGTTTATTAAAGACCATTTTCTGCAAATGTAATTCTGCCCAATTACCACTATTCTGTGGAGCTGTCAACGAGGATAATTTGCTGGAGAATCATCTCCCAAGCGGCAGGTAAGGGAGTCCAGGCTTTTAGCATCCTCTGGGAAAGCAGCTGCCTTTGTATTAAACTTGTGGACTGTGAGAATTATGATGTAGTATGGGTAGACACTCTGCCATGTGCATCTGTTTGTGTCTGATTTTGTAGGAAGTCAGATTTAACTGCTCAGATACCTTCAGAGGAGTTAATTCCACGAGAAGCCTGTTTCTGTCCAACATGAGCAAGTTTTACAGAACTGTGTATTTTAACTGGTTCCTCAGGAAACCAGAGTTGTCTGTGTGTTGAACCACTATTTTGCCTGCTTTTTATAACCTACTGTTGATTATGAGACATTTCAAGCAATTGCAAGTTTCTGCAATTGAAAGTGTTCCTATATAATATGCAGAAAACCTGTACTAAGGAGGGGATCAGCCAGGGGTGTGCAGGTTTCTTGGACAGCTGATTATTTCAAAGAGCATCTTGCAATTGAAAAATATTTGGGTCAGTAAGGGTGAAAGAATGTATTATGTCAGTCAGCAATGAAAGAAATTAATCTATGAAATACAAGGAGCTAAAAGACACTGATTATGAGCCAAGAAAGAGTCATGTTAGGATTCGTATTCAACAGTCTTTGTACTCTTGGCTGTGCTAACTTACATTTTGAGTACTGTAACTCTGCTTGCCACCAAAGTTTTGTCTGCAACATGCAGGACTGGGCATTTGAGATGATAATTACAGGATAAATGGCAAACCCTCTCATTTTAAAAATGAGCTCTACATGGGAAAGAGAATTTGTATCATACACAAAGACCATCAGCTGTTTTTTTGTAATGTTAAGATATTTTCTCCTGAGGTGTTATATTATTACAGACAGGTGGCTATGAAATTCATGCATTCGTTGTAACAGAGGAAGAGTGATGAAATACAATTATTTGCAGTGTTAGCCTTTTGAATAAAGGTATAAAATGTGCAAACCACTAAGGTAATAAGGTTAAAGTAACAGGATCACGTCCTCTTGTATGTGTATTATTCTAGGTCTGTTCACTGCACTCTGAGCTGCAAGTTGTTCCTGTATGAGAAGTCAGAAGCTGTAAGGATTATCACCTGGCACTACCATCTTTCTGTAGCAGAAAAAGAAGGATCCGGACCAGATCACACATCAGCAGGAACTTTCTTCTGGTACCTGTGACTGGATCATGGTCCCTGTATTGCAAAAGATTTTCATAAAGGGTTATCAAGCAGAGATGTGGTCCACTAGTCTGTACAGGTTGATGATTTGTATAGATTGCTTTGTTAAAAAGAAAAATAATAGCAATAAGACCTTCTATGACCATTGCATACTAGAATACTAGTGTGTCTGCCTCTCCTTTCTGCTGGTCAAAATGATAATGAAACCCTTCCCTCTAGTTTTGGTCAGATAGCAGAAGGAAGAAGACAGGAGCTAGCATGCACATTGCCCAGTCGACATCACCTCTTGAACTCCTTTGATAATGTTACACTGGGTCTATCTGCTGATAAACTAATGGTTCCTTTAAGAAAGATACTTTTTCATTAAAAATAAATTACCTTGTTTTACTTTCTTAAAATGTGAACTTGAACTACAAATTTTATGCTCAGAAAAGTTTTGCAAAAGAATTTTTCACATTTGTCTGAAAAAAAATAGAGCATGGTTGTTTTAAACTGCAGGAAGTGTTTCACTGTCTTTACTGATCTGGCAATAACCCAGTGAGCCTTAAGATATATCTTTTGAACCTTTCACCTTGAGTAAGCGAGGTACTGCACTATTCATTCATGCTTGGTTGGACATTAAATCTCCACAGCTGTCACCTTCTGGTGACAGTAGTCATGATTTTCCTACTGTGGCTAGAATGTTTTTTAAATGTTTTTTTTTCTCAACATAGTTGTCTCAAGTGCCAACTTCGGCATTCTTAAGCATTTATTGAAATGACCAGCATTTCAGGTAAAGCTATTTTTTTTGCATGTCTAGAATTCTTAGATATTACAATGTTTTATTATTAAAGTAACATTTTAGAAATGTTTCTATTTCTTTTAGTTTCGTATTTGTATTTATGTGTATTGATAGAGTACTGTGCTGCATGCTGGATGCCTACTGAGCACCAGAAGTGGAAGAGGCCAAACTAAGACTTTTGCCTTTTAAAGGCTGCAGCTGAGGGAGGTATCCCAGGACAGGGAAAAGGACAACTTTATGCCTGTCTTCCAAAATGTCAAGAATGAGAATCTGGGCACATGAAAACAAGTAAGTGATTGGGATTGACCAACACAGGTTTACAAAAGGCAAAATAATGTCTGAGTGGCCCAGGCATAACTTCTCTGCCATGAGGGGCCTGTCTACACAGCCAAGGGGAGCTGGGTGCCCTTAGGCTGGCTTTGGTAAGGTTTCCAACACCAACTCTCCCAGGATCCCAGCAAGCACATATGTGCAGCAAAGTCTGGGTGGATGGCTGTAAAGTGGCTGTAGGAGTTCCTGGGTTACCAAGCTCCAAGCACTGGGCAGCCACTGGCAGCCTGTCAAGGACTGTCCCTGGGGCCAGTTACGCCAAACACACTCCCTGGTGACCTGTGCAGTGGGGCAGAGAGCCCTTGGGAAGCTGGACAGTGGGGCGGAGAGCCCTTGGGAATTACACAGGTGTGAGTGTGAAACCAGGGTCCCGCTTTTCCAGTGGTGTGCTGGAGGGTAAGGCTACCTTATGGATGGACCTTGGCAAGCTGGTGACCTGGTTTGACGGGAACCTGATAGGACTCGGGTGCCAGGGAAAGGAGCTGGGGAAGGAGCCCCCCTTGCAGTATGGCCACATACCAGCAAGCAGCTCTGCAGGAAAGGGCCCAGGCAGAAGGGGGACACCCAGAGTTTGTGGTGGGCAGGTAGAGCACGAGTCTGCAGTGCGCCCTTGTGGCAGCAGAACTGAGCTGAATACCGTGCTGTGTTAGCAGAACCATGGGCAGCAGGTTAAGGGACACATAAACCTGCTCTGCGTGGCTGCACCTGGAGGAACGTGTTCAGCTTGGGGCCTCTGGCATGAGAGAGTCACTGACAAATTGGAGCAAGTCTGGGAGAAGGCCAAGAGGGGGTCATGAAACCAGCATGGTGTGTTCAGGAAAGTGAGGTGGGTGTGTTGAGCCCAGAGAAGGCTGTGGCAGTTCTGGCCACTGTCCTCAAGTGTCTGACCTGGTGTCACGGGGAAGAGAAGTGTTTCTCAGAGAAGCACTATGAGAGGATGAGAGGAGGCAGGCAGAAGAATATTCTGACCGTACATAAGAAAAAAAGGGTTTGAAGTAATAGTGGGTAATCCCTGGAGCAGGTTGCACAGGAAGGTTATTGCAATATCCACCATTATGGAAGCTCTTAGATGGGGCTATGTGAGCAACCTAGTCCAACTCCAAATGCTTTGAGCAGTAGGCTGGACTAGGTGACCTCCAGAAGACCTGTCATCCTAAATGAGTCAATAATTCTAAAAGATAGCAAGGTCTTCAGCTGAAAAATCAAAAGTAATTGCTGTGCTACAGGGCAATTAGCAGCTGATGGAAACTTTGCAGCACTAAATACTGACTGATGGTTCACAATATGGTGGGCACATGCTAAGACTGAAAAAATGAAGACAAGCATCTTACCTGCAATAGGCTGAAGAAGGAGAACTGAAAGGAGGATTCATCTGGAAAGGTGAGAAAGTCAAAGTGGCAGGAAAGGGGAAATTATATATACTGTAATATCGTGACTGGATTTTGGAGGGGCTGAGGCTGTATTTTTCAGGCCAAAAAAAGGACCTCGCAGTAATTGCAATGTGATGTGTTTCAGGCCTTGGCAAGTTTTGCTAAAACAAATATATCAGTCTTACATGAAAGCATTTGACTGTAGTGGTGCTGAAAAACACATTTGTTAGCAGATATTAGCTACTGTGAGCTATTTTCCTAGGCAAGGAACAGCCACGGCACACAGGCTTCTTTTGCAAAAACTGTGTTTTGTGCTTTAGATATACGATGTAATTTCTGCAGATTTAAATGCCCAACATGCACAGCAGCCAGTTGGTGCTGTCAGGGTACTAAATCTGAGCTACAGCTTTTAAGATACTTCAAGCAATGAGCACCCTCTCTGGAGCTCCAGATCCAAACACAGCTCATGTCCATCAAGGAAAATTTCCATTTTGTTTTCCCAGGATTTTGTATTTCCTTCAGGAGATCTCTATGTGTGACCACATTAAACCATGCCACTTG